ATCAGATGCCACAGCCCTGGCTGCACTGGGGACCTGCCTGGTGAAAGGCATCAGCCATAAGGCTGGAGGGGCAGAGGGAAGAACTCGTGCTCGTCTCCCGTACGCCATGGAGACGGGCAGGTTACCACACAGAGCTCGGCCCCCACAGCCCCCACGCAGCAGCATGATGGCCTGTAAAACCCGCTGCCTCCGTTTAAGCAACTGCCTCTGGCTGCAGCAGCCCAAGTGGCTGAGAGCCCTGCACTAAGCCATGTCTGAACAGCTGCCTCCTCACCAGGGGGCAGCTCTGCTCTTTGGTTAGATTTGCTCCCTGCCCCCCCGCCCCAGGAAAAGCATCAGGGAGCCCCCACAGTGGTTCTGTGAGCCGTGCCCTGAATATGCCTGTGCTCAGCAAGGCTAGACTAACCTCAGGCAACTACTGTGTGTGTTATAAAACCAGGCTTGTCAGCTAAGCTCCTTCTTGATCCCCTGGACACACCATCTCCCTGCCCAGCTTTCTTCTTGCCCATTTCAAAGCCAATGCAGCTGGATGTATGGAGAAATATTCCAGCTTGGCTGAGCAACAGATCCCAGCTGTGAGGTAGATCCCGCAGACTCAGGAATCCTCGGTACTGACCACCACCCATCCAGCTGTGCAGTAGATCTCCATCTCAGTAGGAAACTTTCTTGAACCTTTGATCTTTCCAGAGGGCCCAATACTTCCAGTACTACATAAACAAATCAATGCTGGGTACTTGGAAGCCAAGAATCGGACGGCAAAGTCCAGTGCCTGCTAAATAGAAACCTGTAGTTGGAGTCAAAGCACTGTGGGGTTATAACCTTAAAAGACTGCCTGACCCACTGGTGTAGAGCCAGGTGCGTGCATTGCCTGCCCTTTCACCCCCGCCCCCCCATAAGCCCTTTGCTGCACACCACCCTCTGTGCATGCCGGCACGTCTGAGCGCCAGTTAGGGACAGCTGCATTCAGCTGGTAAGGACCCAAAGCCGGGAGGAGGGGGGCTGTGCTGCGTGACAGGCCCTGCATGTTCAGGTAGCTCCGACCCTTGCCAGGTGCCAGCGAAGCAGCGTATCTGCCTTTGCCAGGGACTCATCTGGCTTTGCAAACTGTTCCAACGAGAATGCAACGACAGAGCTAAAAAAAAAACAGGCTCCCTGGCTGCACATTGCTTACATCTGATGCAACCACAGATGGATTGTCTCCCTTAAAACTATCTCCCCCTCCCTGAATAAACATCAGTACTGATGGGAAGAAATAATCTCCAAGGGGGCACGATCCTTCACCAGGGACATAATCTCTTAGTGCCCAACCAATGTAGCGGCCCCCTCACACAGGGCACTGCACAGATACAGTGAGAGCGGTTCCTGCCATCTCATGGCCAAGGCAGCCAGGGAGGACAGTCATCTCCATTTGACAGAGGGGGTGTGTGTGGCACAGAGCAGTCATGCCCAAGGTCACACGGAGAGTCTGTGGCAGAGCTGGCGATTGACTACAGGTTTCCTGAGTCACAGTCCAGTGCCTCTCACATAGCTCCTTCCCTTCCTCTCTGAGTGAAAGACAGCATGGAGTCCTCTGACCCCAAGGGGCCACAGGACCTTACACCTGCCTTGCCCGCCTCATGCTCGAGCCCCTTTGCCAAGACTGCTACTTAGCAGAAAACACAGCTGGGGGAACAGGGTGGAGCCTTCTCCGCCCGGCAGTGCACAGGCCAGCGGAGGCCCAGCAGGGATGGATCTCATCCGCTGGAGCAGAACTGCTTCCTATTTCCACGACAGGGGAAGCTGTCCCTCTGAGGGGAGATCTGGGCCTGTTGCCCTTACCACCCCCCTGAGCCATAACCTGCCCTTTGACAGGTTTCAGAGGAACAGCCGTGTTAGTCTGTATTCACAAAAAGAAAAGGAGTACTTGTGGCACCTTAGAGACTAACCAATTTATTTGAGCATGAGCTTTCGTGAGCTACAGCTCACTTCAGAAGTGAGCTGTAGCTCACGAAAGCTCATGCTCAAATAAATTGGTTAGTCTCTAAGGTGCCACAAGTACTCCTTTTCTTTCTGCCCTTTGACGTCACTCTTCCTGGAGAGCGCCACAGTGCATGCCCATTAAGGAGATCATTAAAACAATCTGCAGCTCCTGTAGGTTCTGTGAGCACCAGAGTCAGTTGAAGGGATGCTGGGGGACTCCCCCAGAGCAGCCGCTTGGATCCCTCCTGTCATGCCCCCCTCCCCGGTTCCCAGCACTGGGCTCCGTCAGCTGCTAGGGTGGGGACAGGCTGGGTTGGGCGGGGGGAAGGTAGGTGACGTGCCCTGGGCTGAGGAAGGGGTTTGTGCAGGGAGTACTGACTGGAGGCCTCTGGTGAGACAGAAAGGAGGAACGGTGCTTGTGATGTGCCCTCGCCAGGGCCATGGGAGGAAAGGAAATCCCCTAATTCCCTCGGGGGCTAGCACAAGTCGCCGCCCCCTCCGAGACACGGAGCACGAGCAGTCAGCACTGCTGTTTGCGTATCTCCTTGGAGGGATCCATTGCCAAGTGCCAACCAGAATTTGCCCCTATGACTATCACAGGAGATTGGTAATAGACCGAGCTGGCCCTGGCTTCATTCCCCAACCAGACCCCTTGCGCTTTACTGGCAATGCCAATAGTTTGCCCTATTCTAGAGCCTCCTACCCAAAGGCCTTTTTTTTTTTTTTTTTTTTGCAAACGGTTAAGTAAGTCTCACAACAGCCTGTGAGAGAGGGAAGTATTATCCCCATTTTACCAAAAGGGAAACCGAGGCAGAGAACAATTTACGGGACTTGCCAAAAGTCACAGAGGAGGCTGGAACAGAACCCAATTCCACTGACTCCCAGGCACAGGTGTTAAGGCCAGAAGGAGCCATTGTGACGATCTAGTCTGGCCTTCTATAGAACACAGGGCAGAGAATTCACCCTGTGCTTTAGCCACAAGAGTCTCTTTCTTTCCGGAGCCTCTGGCTAGTCATTCAGACTCCATGACCAAGAGCAGGACGAGTGGAGACAGCAAGGAGCTACAGCTCACCTACAGCTTTACAGAGCTCTGTTTTACCTAATGGAGCCACTCCTTGTCGTGGTGGTGGGAGTAGGGAAGAGCCCGTTCTTTCCTCTCTCTCACTGCGGAAGATCTTGAATTTAGATTAGACTTAATCCTCAGCCAGCCAGTGAGCTAGACCCCAGACCGCGTGAAGCAGGCACTCCAGGCCCCGCTGTAACACATACACAAAAGGTTTCAGAGTAGCAGCCGTGTTAGTCTGTATTCGCAAAAAGAAAAGGAGTACTAGTGGCCCCTTAGAGACTAACCAATTTATTTGAGCTTAAGCTTTCGTGAGCCGCAGCTCACTTCAGCTGTAGCTCACGAAAGCTTATGTTCAAATAAATTGGTTAGGCTATAAGGTGCCACTAGTACTCCTTTTCTTTTCACATATACAAAAAGCTTTCATGCTGACCTTTAAACTTTGGACAGAGTCATGGAAAGATAAGAGCCTTTATCCTCTTTGCAGCAGCTTGCAGGTCCCCAGGCACTGCGAGGAGGCACGTGAGAAGATCTGGCTGGTGATGGGCCTATACTGGCAGACAGCCCCTCGTCCCGAACAGGTACCTACCCAGGCAGAGGATCTGTGAGAGGAGAGGGATCTGCATGCCAGCCGACAAAAGCCGACTGAGATTCATCGGCTGGGTGTCGAAGCTAGACAAATTCAGACGGGAAATAAGGTGCAAATTTTTCACAGGGAGGTGCTTAACCATTGCAGCCACTGATCTAGGGCTGTGGCGGATTCTCCGTCACTTGGCGCCCAAGCGTCTCTCTAAGGGATCCATTCGGTCTCAGCCAGAGCTTGTGGGTTTAATTCAATCACAGGGGGAGAGTCTCTGGCTGGTGCTAGGCAGGAGGTCAGACAAGATGATCCCAACGCTCCCCGCTGGTCTTAACGTCTATACGACACATGGGGGAACTGGGACTAGACACGGGGCTGAACCGGAGCCCCGTATGCCAAACACACTCCACCCCAGGTTTCAGGGGAAGGGGTGGAAGGATGGTGTTTCACATTCAAAACCCCTGGATCTCGACTCTGGTAATGACTTTTGCTTCTGGGTCGCCAGGGGCTGATATTTTGCCACTGTGTCACAGCTGGATTCAAATGCGTCTCAAGGTGGCAGAAGCTTGCGAGGTGCCCCACAAGGGAGACTGCAAGGCTTAGCTGCATGTCACCGCTGCCTTGGCCATGCCTGTGCTGTCTGAGGGGAGCAAAGAGGAAATTCCTCCAGCCCCTAGCGGGGTGTAGGGCAGTGTTTGGGCGGCTCAGGGCCAGGACAGTTTTAATCCACCCTTCAGGCCAGCTGTCTAGTTGTGGAGGAGTTCAGCTCTTAGACTGCATTTCCCTAGGGGCAGGGACTGTGCTAAAGAGAGAAATACACTGTGGGCATTGTGGGTAATACAACTAATTATTCATTATAAAGTTCATCCCCTAGCTTCCCCAGACCAGCTGGGGTTGGGAGAGCTGCGGTGGGGGCACCTCCAAAATCTGGGGTCCTGCGCAGACTCAGAAACCAGGCAAACCCGACCTGCCAGGCCTGCGCCCTGCTGAGCTGCCTGCTGTCCTGCTTCCCAGGGCCACCTTCTGCCGGCTGGCATCTCGCCAGCCGAGGCAGGACGGCACCTGGGTGCTCGGGGAGGGGCAATGCTGTTCTCGGAAGCAGGTGGGGGAGATCCACCCGTTAATGTGGACAGATCTGAAGAGGAAGCAGGGGTAGGCTGGGCAGAGATACAGAACAGGCCCCGTTACCCCTGGAAACCAGAGCCATGGCTCCACCCACATCCCCGGCTCTCTGTTGGTAGCGTTGCCATACCAACCAGGCTGGGCGCGGGTCAGGAGCAGCTGTGCTTTTGGTGGGTCCCTCTGCAGCAGGAGCTAGTGTTATTAGTCTGTGATAGGAAGGCCGGCCCGTCCCTGCAGCCATGAACATCGTCCTTTCCAGGTAAGGCGGGCCGGGGTCCAGCTGCTTGGGGGTGTCCTTTCCCTTTGTCCTCCTGCCATGGAGCCTGCCAGGGAAGAAGCTTGCAGTGAGCGGCGGGAAGCTCCCCTGAGATACACAGAGGCATTACAGTGAGTGAGGACAGCTTGTCTGGGTGGACAGAGCAGCAGGCTGAGAGTGAAGAGACCTCGGTTCTCGTCCCACCTGATGCAAGCCGCTTAACTGGACCTCCGCTTTCCCCTCTGTAAAATAGGTGCAATGATACTGACCTAGCTTTGCAGAGGCTCAGTTCATCCACTTTTCTGAAACGGATCAGGGTCCCCTCCAAGATTTTGCTGTACACCCCAACAATGGGAAGGAGGAGCCTGGAGATTTAAAGGAACATAGTGGGAGGTGCTCATTAATTTCACTGCTTCCTGAGGCGTTCTCACAGGGAAAGCCTGCACTGCAATCACTTGGGGTGACTGTGCTCACGTAGACTGCATACCAAGCTAGCATCAATCTCGCTAGCTCTGGTACCTGCAAAGCTGCAGCAGTCTGGGCTTCAGTGCAGGCTGGATAAGCCCACCTGGAACCAAGGGTAATTACTCGTGCAGCCAGCCCACAGTGGAGCCTGTGCTGGCCACAGCTTCATTGCTCTGGTATCCAAGCTAGCTAGATGAATGCTAGCTCGGGTCCATCCATTCAAGCTGCAGTCACCCCCGATGCAGTGCACACAGACCCTTATGCACAGAGCACAGTAGAAGGTGCGGGGAGGTTTCCATGCCAAGGACCTGGAGCATGGGGATATTTTAGCACAGCGGCTATCTAAGACTTTTGGGGAACCCTGGGAAATAAACGTGAGCAATCTACAAGGCTCAGGAGTGGCCCGTAGCCATGAAGTAGTCAACAGACTTGTAACTGGAAATTTTGCTTGTGTTCTGGTGTCCCTGAGCCGACCTAAGGGCCAAGGGCCTGAGCATGTCTCTGCACAACTCACCGCTTTGCATGCTCGCCCCCGCAACCCACAATTTTCACTGTCACTCACACATACAAACAATAAACGAGACCTATGCTCCTTCAATTAGCACTGTTTGGCTCTCAATGAACAAGTGAGTGTGGGCTAACGAGGGAAGCGGGACATCTGAAAACACGGCCCTAAGCATTTGCATCAAGCTCATGGGGGGCAATGGAGACGCAGGTTTGGCGAAGGGCTCTCACCTACGGCTGCAGATAGCAACCCTAAGGAGAAGCGGTGCAAGAGAAACATCCTGTATATGTATCCTATGTTTAAGAACCGTGTAAAGCAGCAGCAACTTCTGGAAACTTTGCATCTGCTGGAGCTGTTAGACTATGATAACAAACATACACTGAACTGTATTGGAGCCAGATGTTTGACAGCAGAACTAAAGCCAAGATCCAGCCTATAAGCAGGGCCTCAAGCAAGAGACCAGAAAAAACTGGGTCCCTAGAGATACCCAGGCTGCTGGAGGCAGGAGTCTGGCTGTAACTTCCTTCCCCTTCCAGCACTACTGCCAAGGTGAGAGGATCTGGCAGAAAGCCTCCTTCTTCCTTCCCACCACGACCCTGCTACCAGACCTGGCAGAGGTATGTGCCCCATGTGGTCCAGGGAGAAATCAGACCAGGCTGCCAAGTGCCCTATCACTGTGTCCCCAAAAGCACACAGCTCTCAGTAGTAGCTTGGATGGCTTCTGATGAAGGCCACACCCAGTTAGGGTTTCATTATTAGTAGGGTGACCAGATAGCAAGTGTGAAAAAACAGAACAGGAGGTGGGGGAGTAATAGGTGCCTATATAAGAAAAAGTCCCCAGAAACGGGACATCTGGTCACTCTATCTATTAGGGACCTGTTCCTTTTTCCTAGCACACATGAGCGCAAAGGAGCATGTTTCCAAGGCTTGAGTCATGTCAGGCAGCAGCGCCCAGGCCACAGCCCATCGTTTGCCACCCAAGCAGCTCTCTGCAGAACTAAATGTGCAAACTAGCGCTCATCCACATCTTGGTTGTCACAACGCATTTTGGATGAGAAATGGAAACAAAATTTTTCCACAAGACTCTTCGTGTTGGTCAAAATATTCCAGTTCTGGACAAACAATCGGAACTGAAAACTTTTCAGGAAAACTTTTCAGGTTTTTGGAAAAAAAATGAAACTTTTGTCCAAAAGCCATTTAAAACCCTCACTAAAATTGGCTTTCAGTTTTATTGAAAAGCCTGAAACTCCTTAAGGGGAAATTTAGGGGGAAAAAAAGACCAAGAAAATGTTTCCAACTCTCCACAAAATTCATTGGCATTTTTCAACCTGCTCTAGTGGGGAGTAGCAGATGGGGACAGAGTGGATGGATCTCTGAGGATCTCTCTCTCACACTGTGGTTTGTGGAACGCAAGCACTGGAGAACCATGGAGGTATGTCTTATGGCGTAGCCCACATGGGAAGCGTAGATGAACAAGGTGTCATCATGGAAGGAGAGCAAGGCAGAAGTTAGAGAGAAAAGGGTCGAGGAGAGCTAGGTCCCTCCTACCAATTCAGGGTATTCCCCACAACATATCTAGTATTCCATCCAGTCCTGTCTGGGCTTCCCACCAGTTCCCCGGTGGACACTGCAGCTTGGGAGAACATCTCACTATCAGGAAATATTTCCAGATATCCAGCCTACATTTCTCCAACTTGATTCCATCATCTTTAGGTTTTTATAGGGACCCCCGTCCCTTTGGATTTTGAGGGCCTCGATGTATTTACACTAAATAATTCTGCTCCTTTTGTAGGCTGTTACATCTCTCCTTCTCAACCAAACTATGCACCTTTAATCTCTTTCCATCTTTCCTCTTAAGTCAGTCCCTCTAGCCCCTGCTCATTTCACTGGCCGTGTCTTTGAACTCTCTCCAGTTTGTCACTCTATTCCTGTAAGGAGGAGCCCAGAACTGAGAGCAATAAAATCACGCTGAAAGACATGACTGGCTACACCACACAGAGGAGACAGAAAGGCCTAGGGGCCGTAGCATGTTTAGTGAGTTTATTCATTGCAGCAAGCCTGGGAGGGGTGGCCATAGTCCCACATTGCCTAAAGCAGCAAATTCTCTAGAGATCCAGCACTGTTTGCCAATGATTTATTTTCAACATGAGGTCAGGGGAAGGCAGTTTACTACAGTTCTGAGCCTTGAAAAATGTAAGGCCCCCCCATGTCTTTTGTGGCAATGAGTCAAGTTTGCATGATGGAGACCAACAGGCTTTATTAGATGGTGCACAGCTGCAGGACTCTTGGCAGAGCTGCTGGGAGAACTAGACACGTAGGCAGACTGCAGCTGTATCTTTCCATTAATACTGCTCTTAAAGGAATTTAGGAAGGTCTTACACTGATAGCTGCGGGATTTGGGTTTCTAGATGGGATGAAGTGACGCGGATTTGAAGTTTATGAAAGGAGCATTCAATAATCGGCTTAAGCCCACCAGTACCAAACAGGGCACTGCAGCTGGGAGATGTGTCAAGAACGCCTGTGAGCGGAGCTGAGTTTAGCACCGCTCCCAGTAGCTCGAGGGAAGGCTTGTTTTTAGCTAGCCTGGAACAGTTGCTGTCTATTGACCAGGAGGGTCTAGGTTCAAGTCTCAACTGTTGCACTATGCAGATCACATACAGATGAGCCCCGCCAGCAGCCCAGTGTGGGGCTCAGCTGCACCAACAGGCAGCCACCCAACGCCAAATATCAGACCCTAGAAGCCAGGCTACACCAAGAGGCAATTCTTTAGCCTCCCAGCCTCCCTTTCATGGGGGCATTTTTGTATCTCAAATAAACTGCAGACGCAAGTACCAGCACTAGAGAGGCTACCTATCCTGCTAGCATGTCATCCTAGTGCTAAGATGCGCACCCAGAATATATTTGCAGGTGCAAAACTGGCACCCCCATGTTTTTAGGTGGGTACAAACTGTACCAGCAAACAGGGAGACCTGGGTGAAAGCTATCCTCCAAATGAGGAAACTGTGCCATGAAATGGCACTTCCCAAACCTTGCACTACTTTAGTCAGGGCTGCTTTTCAGGGCGGGCAAACGGGCAGTTGCCTCGGATGCCAACTTCCATGGGGTTTGCCATAATGCTGTGCCTCTCAGACTCTTTTGTCCTCCTCCGCTGATTGGCCACCAGGGTGGGCAGGTTGCTTGATTTGGAGGTGGGTGATTCCCGCCCCCCCCTTGGCCACTCCTGGGGGAAGGGGAAAATGGGGCACTGAAAACATTTTCCACCCTTGCCGGAAAACTCCTAGCATGGGGTCTGGGTTTAGCCAATCCACATCACTTTTGACAGTGCTGTGATAGACAATGGGCTGCTCTGTAATAATGTATGACTCCTATGTATTTGTTTGACTGTGATTAGGGTGTGCTACTGTATGAAAACCTGGGGTGCATTTAAGAGGCTGACTGCGCATAGGCAGGAAAGATACCGTGGCTTCAGATAGCCACCCAGTGGCTGACACGCCAGAGAGAATGCAAGAGCCTTGGCTTTGTTGTCCTACTTCTGTCCACCAAGGAGAACCAAAAACCCCAGGGATACAAGTCATTCTCCTGAGGGAGGGGGCACTTGTCAGGGGGCTGTTCAGGGGAACACCCACAGACACACACCAGGTTGCCTGAAGAGCTAGGCCATCCTGGGCTCCGCTCAGAGGTTGGCCGGGCGTACACAGACCCTTTTCCTCTTATGCTTTGCTTTATTCCTGCTCTTAAGATTAACCATTTATACTTCGGTTTACGGAGGCTGTTTGGTCACTATGGACCTCTGCTTGTAGACGCCCAAAGGGAAGAACTGCAGATGCCATACCCAGCTGGACCTGCTGAGTAAGCACGAGTGAACCACAGGGTGCTGTAGCCCAGGTCCCGGTCTCAGAGCAGGATAATCACGCGATTCCACCCTAGGAGAGAGAAAGGCATGAAGCCTGACACCTGAGGGGGGGGGCACTCAGATGGTACGTCTACACAGCGATAAACCTATGGCACCACATCTCAGAGCCCAGCCCAGTGGATTCAGGCTTGTGGGGCTCGGGCTGCAGGACTACAAACAGCAGCGTAGATGTCTGGGCTCCGAGTCCCTCTCCCTTCATAGGCGCTCAGACCGTGGGCTCCAGTGTCTACATAGCAGTTTTATAGCCCCGCAGCCAGAGCCCCAGGAGCCCGAGTCAGCTGACCCAGGCCAGCCACTACCATGCCGTGGGTCTTTTATTGCAGTGTAGACAGAGACCAGAGAGGAGATGGGTGCAGCTAGCCCTGGAACTGTGACATATTCCATTATGGAATCCCTTAAAGCCAAGCTTGCCCCTGTGCTGGAACCCCTCAATCGCCTATCCCATAAGGCCCAGCACTGTCATGGGGAGGTCATTTTGAAAGCAAGAGAAGGCACTGTGAGATGGAGATAAGGTGACAGGATGAATTGACTCATTGGGAACCATTATGGACTTAAACAGTACTGCTGCACAAAAAACCCAAATCTTGCTCCTACACATTACAACCAACTCTTGCAACTGATGCTTGTAAAATGTTTGGGACAGCTTTTGGGTCTAGTTGCAAGCTCAAGACATTCTGAACAGCAGCATCTGACAATGTCTTATCACTCAGCGTAAACACAGGGCCCGGATGTGACCTCCTACTGGGAAACTGCTCCAGCTGTTTCAAAGGCAGTCTAGACAAGTGGCCCAACATTTAAAGTTTACAGTTGTCACAGTAGACTCTTGGGTAACAAACCATTCAGCCTGATTTATTGAATTTCTGACTTGGGTTGTTCCTTTTGTGGTTGAGCAACAATAGACAGCTGAGACCCAAAGTTGTGTGTGTGTGTGTGTGTGTGTGTGTGTGTACACACTGAGCAGTCAGGTGCACAGTTCTCCAATCTATGCATACAAATGCCCCATTCCATACATACAAAGGTGTGGTTCTGATGCACACACGAGAGATATCCTGCAAAACTCTGGGCTCAAGTTTCTAAAGCTGGGACATACCAGCATTGATGGTGAACTAACCCAACATAAGCTTTCGTGAGCTACAGCTCACTTCATCGGATGCATCCGATGAAGTGAGCTGTAGCTCACGAAAGCTTATGCTCAAATAAATTGGTTAGTCTCTAAGGTGCCACAAGTCCTCCTTTTCTTTTTGCGAATACAGACTAACACAGCTGTTACTCTGTAACCCAACATGCGGCTCTTTTCTCCCCTACCCAGAGATAGCCAAGTGAGGATCATGGAGAACACAGTGGCCAATGCAGAGAAATATTTCGGCCAGTTCTGTGCGCTGATGGCCTCCTACGCCAGGAAGACAGCCAAGCTGCGGGACAAGTCAGATCTCCTGGTGAAGCAGCTCATAGACTATGCGAACACCGAGAACCCTGAGCTGCGAAGCACCATGAAGAACTTTGCTGAGGAGCTGGCCAAAGTGCAGGACTACAGGCAGGCAGAGGTAAGGAGCTGCCTAGACCCCGCAACACTGACTATGCCAGGATTGACAGCTAGGGAGGCACAATCTGACCATAGTCATGGGAGTTCACGTTGAGGGAGCAATGGACCTGTATGTGAGCAATACAGGAAACGCTAAATATTTCATTGTCTGTAGATATACTGTGCTAGTGTAACCCATACACCTTCTGGGTGTGGTGTTCTGTCCCATCTAGTGGTCCCAGGTTCGATCCTGCCTGCTGACAACCGGGGTCTGTCAGTGTTACACTAGTAACTAGTGTCCTGTCCTAGGATGGCTGGGCTCATTGCTGCTTTCCCTGTTCAGGGGCTGAGGGTATTGATCTGTGCAGCCTTCCTGCTCCTTTCCAGCCTGGAAGGGAGGAACCAAGCTAAGAAGGAAGAATTTTAGGGGTGAATCTATCCCTTATCCAAGATGACAAGCTCTGCATAATCACCCAATTTCTGCTTCTGAGGGGATTATGGGCCATTCTTTGGTTACTATTTGGGGAAGATTCACCCCCTCCCCTTGCACCCTCTTCCATGTCTCACTGTGCCTTTCGTGTTAGGAAAGTGGCAGTGGATTAGAGGGCCTTTCACCTCTCAGGTGTCTGGTTTGAATCCAACTTAGGTCAGGGTTAGGGTTAGGGTAGCATTTAGCGTTGCCATCTGATGGATGTTCAGGGGCTACATGAAACATGTTCACGGCTGCCAGCCCAGCTCCTGTTTTGAGGTCCCTGCTGTAACTGGCGGTGTCGCCAGACGAAGGACTGAATGATCTGGATCCCTTGAGGTGATAGAGCAGAGGGCAATTGCAGTGCTATTCCTTGGTGGCTAGAGGTCCCAACCCTGTCAGGCTATCAGCCAGCCCTGTCTGTACCAAGTACATTATATCCCCGCCATACTGCCTGTGTGAATTTCCCCTGTAGGTGGAGAGACTGGAAACGAAGGTTGTGGAGCCGCTGAAACGGTACGGAGTCCAGCTCAAGCAGACACAGGTACATGCCACATAGCTGTGCCCTGCCACATCCCGTAGCCAGCCGGCCGCGCCAGCCTTAAAAAAACCAAACAAAACACAAAAAGAAAAGGAGTACTTGTGGCACCTTAGAGACTAACCAATTTATTTGAGCATGAGCTTTCGTGAGCTACAGCTCACTTCATCAGATGTTTACCGTGGAAACTGCAGCAGACTTTATATACACACAGAGAATATGAAACAATACCTCCTCCCACCCCACTGTCCTGCTGGTAATAGCTTATCTAAAGTGATCAACAGATCACTTATCAATAGATAAGCTATTACCAGCAGGACAGTGGGGTGGGAGGAGGTATTGTTTCATATTCTCTGTGTGTATATAAAGTCTGCTGCAGTTTCCACGGTAAACATCTGATGAAGTGAGCTGTAGCTCACGAAAGCTCATGCTCAAATAAATTGGTTAGTCTCTAAGGTGCCACAAGTACTCCTTTTCTTTTTGCGAATACAGACTAACACGGCTGTTCCTCTGAAACCAAACAAAACACACTGATCTCATCTCCTAGGCAGAGATCAAGAGGTTCGACAAAGTCAGAAACAATGAGATAAAACAACTGGAGAAACTGGAGAGACTGCGGCAGAAGTCACCCTCAGACCGACACACCCTCGTATCCTTTATGCCACATTACAAACCCCGAGAGGTGCAGAGTTAGCACTTGGTTAGGCAGCCTGATCAATAACGCAGAGGTAGGAAGCCAGGGCTCAGTGGCTTAGGTTTCATTGTGGTTTCTTCCGAATGTTCCACAGAATCCAACAGAATCTGTTGGAAACCGACCTGCGTCAGGAAACCACCCACCCCAGTAAGGGAAAGCCCAGACTGTTGTAAACTAACCACAGGCTTCCCTGGGAACTAGCTGGAGCTCAGAGAAACGAGACGCATGCAAAGGGATTGAGGGTCAGGTGATGAGGTGCCAAGTCCACCTCCCCCCAAACCACTTCCTTATCAAGCTGCAAATGTGAAAGGGGAGATTTCACACGTGCTACGTTTTGACTCCAGTCTGGTCACACGCATCTTAAATTCATTCCCAGACCCACGTTCTGCACATAGATCTTGGAGGGCTCAGTTGCTAATACTCTAAGCACTTCCCCACACCAGCACTCACTGAATGGCGTGTGAATGGAAAATAGGGCAATGTTCCTTTCCAAAATGTTCCTTTCCTTCCGCCCACCCAGGGAAACACACCTTATCATATGGTTTGCAGTGTTTCTGTAGCCATTGTTGGTCCCAGGACAGGAGAAAGGTAAGGCAGGTGAGGCAATGCCTTTTGTTGGACCAACTTCTGTTGGTGGAAGGAACAAGCTTCCGAGCTACAGAGAGCTCTTCCCCAGGTCTGGAGAAGATAACCAGAATGTCTAAACTAAATGCACGGTGGGTCAGTTTATAACCCAGATCTGAAGAACAGCTCTGTGCAAGCTCGAAGACTTGTCCCTGCTCCCGACAGAAGCTGTTGCAATAAAAGATATTACCTCACCCACCTGGTCTGTCTCTTGTTCTTTCAGACTTTCTGGGTGGGACCCCTTTTCAAAGGGATAATCTCGACAGCTCAAGAGATTTGCCTCTGCCTGGCAAAAATATTTTAAATGAGCAACCCCTTCAGCAGCTTTTCCAAAGAAGGCAATTCTCAGCTGAAAATCCCAAAGATCCTCAAGGGGGAAAGAAGAAATTGGATATCTTTGTGTAGACTCAGCTGCTGAGCAAGGTGGCTCAGCTTCTCTGGAAACAAAACATTGCATCCGGGAACTAACATCGGCTCCCCACATAAGGGTTGCATGTCACTCTCTCTTGTAGATTTCACAGCAGTACCATGCTGATTGGGGACCACATGGCCCCCCAGCTCAGCTTTCTACACTGGGCATCATACAGGCTCATGCATCCCTAGGGTCCTGTCCCCAAGAAGCCAGGTGCAATAAGCACTCAGGTTTGTGCTCCTCATTTGCACACACACAGAGTTGCTTGACACTTTTTGAATTTCAATGCCATTTTTCATGGGGGTGGGGGGAGGAATCAAATTTCAGTGCAAAACCTGGCAGATTTTCAACTCCATTTTTCATGAACCTTTGTGGGTTTTCTACCTGTTACAGAGGTAGCTGGAGGTTTGTGAGTTTCCCAAAAAAAACTCATTGAAATTTTTGGGGAAAAAAAAAACAAAAACAGTAAAAAATTAAAAAAAAAGTCATAATTTTTACTGTTTTTTCCACCAACTCTGTAGGTGCTTTAAACAAGAGCTCCTACAAAGCAGTTGTTTGCACCGACAGGTTACCTCCCTCCACTGAGATCACTCCCCATGTGGCAATATTAGGGTGACCATATTTCCCAAAGGGAAAACAGGACACCGTGTGTGGCTGGTCCAAGCTCCCCCCACCCCCGCGTGAGGCTGGGGTCGCTGAAACCATGCCTGCCCCCCCCTCCACAAGGCTTGGGTCGCTGGAACCCTGCCTGCCCCCTGTGTGAGGCTGGGTTCACTGGAACCCTGCCCCACCCCACAAGAAGCTGGGGTTGCAGGAACTTGACCTGTCCCCCTCCCCCGCTAGAGGCTGTTGCTGTTTGCTGCAACCCTGCTTGTCACCCCTCCTCCCCTGTATGAGCCCTACCTCCCCCGCCCCTGCAAGGGGCTGGCATCTCCACTCACACCCCCCCCCCCCAAATTCCCCCGCACCGCACTTTTGACAAAAGTGGGAATTTATCCCGTTTGCTCTTGCCAACTGATCCAATTGTCAAGAGTAAAAAGGGGACAAAGGTCCACTATTGCCAGAAATGTTGGGATAGCCAGGACAGGGCTTAAAAAAGGGACTGTCCTGGCCGAAACGGGACGTATGGTCACCCTAGGCAATAAGTGGTGTTCCTTCCGGGCTGATCCACTGGTCTGATTTAAAAGGCACTCCAACAAAGTCACAGGCAAAGCTCGGCCTGTGTTTTATAGGGTGGATAGTTGCCATGTTTGCCCCAGGGTGAAAATCCTCTTTCAGAAATGCAATCAGGGCAGTCAGTGTAAGAGGACAAGATTCCTTCCTGCCCACAAGCATCTGACAGTAACTGCTCAGTTCAGGTCTTCTGGGCTCAGCTGCTCACACAGACACCAGCACAAGGCTCAGTGTGTCTATAAACTCTCCCCTTCTCATCAGATTATTCCTTGACTCCTGCCATCAGTCCCAGGTAAGCACAAGTTCCCCTGGGTATAATATTTGTCCTGTACCCAGGATAAAATTTCAAGCAATGGACAGTAAAAGATTGTCAGGATAAAGCACAGGTGAGTTCTAAAGAGACACACAACCCAGGGCGGGACAGGACATTTTTGAAACCCTCCCTATGGTATTTATAACACTGGATGGCGCTGGTGCAGTCAAGACCCAATTCTTTCCAATAGCACCAGGAAACTGGAATCTGGCTTTTTTCTCCCATCCTGGGCTGTATTGTCAATTTAAGCTGTAAGCGCACTGCAGAAAGGACTCTCTCTCACTGGTCAAAAGTTCTCTGTGAAAACTAGCTGTTTGATGGAAAATTGGGTTTTCAGTTACACCACATTTCTTTTTGTGAGAACAATGAAAAATGTTTTGGCTGAAAATTCAGGGTTTTTTTATTATTATTAATGAAAAGTCAAAATTTTTCATGGAAACTCCCCCCCCCCAATATGGCAACCACCTCCCCTCTTCCCACACACATGTGCAGAGCCTAGCACAATGGCACCTGATCTCAGCTGGCACTTCTAGTAGGGATTCATTTATCACGTACACTGTTTAGACCAGCGCCATTGACAGCAGTGGAGTGACTCCTGACTGACACCAGCGGGAGAGGAAAACTGGGCCTGAGGTCTCGGAGGGAATGTGCAGTGGACACACTAGCCCTGAGTGGCCCCTGTTTACTCAGTAGCGTGTGCAGCATGACAGTAAAGGGTTAACATTTGGATGCATCGCCTTCCGGGGCTGGGTGGAGGCTTACCCTACAGTTTTGTATTCAAAGGAGAAAAAAAGAATGACTGAGCACCACAAAGCATCAAAATACACCCACCCTGCCAGCCAGCTTCCTTTCTGCTTTTTCCCTACCTGATATTCCACCCCCACTAAGGCAGGCTTTATTTCACCTCCCAGCTGCTTTTCTTATCAACACACTAATGCACCATGCTCCACTGGTCCAGATTTTACGCCACATGTTTAGTACCTGAAATAGCCCTGCCATAAGTCTCATCCATTTTCCTGTAATGACGTTCAGTGCTGATGGATTTGCGCCTTCCCTCCTGCAGCTAGAGAGAGAGGAGGAATGTCATGCAAGCTATAGAACCCTTTGTACTGGAAGGGAAAATTGTGGTAGGGCTCCCTGAGGGTGTCTGCCACCATGGGGATGCAACTGACCCCCCCCCCCCCCGAACATGCCCACAAGAAACATCCTTCTGATTTCATATTCTGCACTCTCCAGCCACCTCCCTCGCCTAAAGGAACCACCACTGGGTAGTTTATAACAACACTTAGTTCTCACATAGGGCTTTTCCACTGTAGATCTCAAAGTACCCAACCAAGGAAAAAGAAAAGGAGTACTTGTGGCACCTTAGAGACTAACCAATTTATTTGAGCATAAGCTTTCATGAGCTACAGCTCACTTCATCGGATGCATACAGTGGAAAATACAGTGGGGAGATTTTATATACACAGAGAACATGAAACAATGGATGTTACCATACAGACTGTAACAAGAGTTATCAGGAAAGGTGAGCTATTACCAGCAGGAGAGCGGGGGGGGGGGGGGGGGAAAGGAACCTTTTGTAGTGATAATCAAGGTGGGCCATTTCCAGCAAAGTCAGTCTCATTATCCCCATTTTACAGAAACCAGGGAAACTGAGGCACAAAGACAGGGGGAAGTGACTTGACCAAGATCACACAGCAAGTCAGTGACAGACCAGGAAGAGAACCCAGGAGTCGTGACTCTCAGTCTCCAGCTTTAGCAACTAGCTCAGCATTCAAAAGGAAGATGTAACCTATCCTAGGAACAGAAAAAGGAAGACCTGACTCCACAGACATTATCTGTTCAGGACCCAGTAGCTCCTCATAAGAAGCTTTAAAAAACATAATAGCTAGAACCAACCCTGCTGCTGTAATAGCAAATATTCTCTGCATTGTACTTCTGTAGCTTAATTTACGCTGACTAAGGATACATGCAGGAAGCCAGGTATCAGCTACTTACAAGCAGAATTCAAGGCTTACTCAGCAGATGGGCTTATGAATGTGCAAGAACAAATTGGGCCTGTGGCACCTATCTGGGCATGTGCAAATGTGTTAACTCGGGTGCCTCGGTGTGGTCAGTGCACAAGCAAAACAGGTCTCTGCTTTTTAAAATTCAGGCCCCATGGCTATCTGCACCTTCTGTTTATTCCGCATCTGAAGATGGAAACGATTGCAAAGTCATATACAGAGAATTAGGGGAATAATAGGAAGATGGGAAATAAGCAGTAGGAGCAGATGAACTCTTAGAAAACTAAGATCCTATGGTCACGCTAAACCCCCAGCTGATAAAAATCACAGGGAGGAGACACATAGAGAGCATATATGCCATGTAGGCTGAATTGGTTCTCAAGGAAAAGGGCTAGGTAAATCCCTGCTGTCACTCTGCCAGTTTCAGTGGAGCTCCCTAGGGATGAATTTGGCCTAGATCTCTCATAAAGGTTTTCACAGGGCTTTAAGCTTATGAAACTACAGCCATAAGACGACATGTTGGGCCACGGTCCGTTCCCCCATGAAGCATACGTGCCCTACTGCCCTCTGCTGGATAATGTCAGGCCTGCTAAAAAGCATGCACGTATATCACCATCAAGTGGTGAAACAGAACAGGGATCTAAGCATGGGAGCACGTCAGAGAGAGATCACATCAGCCCCAGAGTGGCTGCAGCCCCAGGAGAGAGACACTGGGTGAGTTTCAAAAGAAACCATTTACCTGATCATGGTATTGGCTTTGCAATGGGAACGTAAAAGGTTTTCTGTTCTGCACCCCATGCTCAACCAAAGCAGGCCAACGTCAGACCTAGGGGAGTTTGGATTCTGTGATGGATCCAGGATCTGGCCCTTGAACACAATATTGGACTGAGGCGTTTGCACGGCAGTAAGGCAAATGCTTCCTTTCTAAGGTGGCTCATTGTAAGCCCTAGCATTGCTCCACAAGCATTAATCCCAGGGCTACTTTATAACAAGGGTTTACCAGGGCACAGTCATTCCCCCAACCACCTCCACACTGGGACAGGGAGGCTTATGGATTTGACTGATGGGGGAGCTTCCACCATAACCATGTCAGGGTCTCATTGCTGATCCCTGTGCTGCAGTGACTCTGGCCTGTCTACCCACCTTAGGGCTCTGTATGCGCCCCATGACCAGCATATCTGAGCACTTCACAATCTTTAATATATTTATCCTCACAACCCCCTGGGAGGTAGGGTGGTGCTATTGTCCCCATTGTACAGATGGGGAACTGAGGCAGAGAGAAGATAGAGGACATGCCCAAGGTCTCAGGAAGTCTGTGGCACAGCAGGGAAGTGCACCCTGGTTTCCAGGATCTAGGCTAGAGCCTTAACCACAGGACCATCCTTCCTCTCTGAATGCCCAGTCTTGTAATTCTATACTCTGCTCCCACTGAGATGCCTTGCTCCCCGGTGCCCATGCAGTTAACCCCTTCTGGATCTGAAGGAACAGCATAGGCACCATATGATGCTGTGCTTCCCTTGGGCTTTTTCTCAGGCTGAGTCAAACGTGCACAAAGTCTCAGTAGACGCCAGCCGCACCACCCAGCAGCTCAAGGAAACCATCGATGAGTTCCAGAAACAGAAACTGAAAGACGTCCAGGTAAAGTTCGCTGTGAAGCATTCAGAAAAGAGCTACAAGAATTATTCAAGGTCTGGGAAACCTGCCCTACAGTGAAAGACTAAATCTGTGTAGCTTCTCAAAGAGGTTAAGAGCAGACAGAGCAAAGAGCCTTCTTCTATCAATGAGACAAAGGCAAGATCTTGTGACTACAAGTTGAAGTTAGGTAAATTCAGACTAGAAATAAATGGCACTTTTTTCCCTAAACTCTGATGGTAATTTTAACCATTGGAACACATTAGCTAGGAATGTGATCAATTCTCCATCCCTTGAAGCCTTTAAATCAAGACCGGACATTTCTTTTGGAAAGATTTGCTCTAGGTCAGACAGAACTGCTGGCTTTGGCGCAGGAATCTCTGGGTGAGGTTCTCTGGCCTGTGTTACAGGAGATCAGACTAGAAGATGATCACAATGGTCCCTTGTCTTAAAAATCCCTATATCCCCCCAGGGCTCAGATGGATTAGGGCTCCATTTGCTCTGGGGAATAAAGACTTTTAGGAGCAGTTTTGACTGTACAGCGACCATACTTTGGAGTTGGGGTTCATTCCTCCTCATTTCCCCACCCGTTTCCTTTCTAGTCTCTTACTGCAGCCACCATCCACATGGTCAAAGCAGAGCAAATGGAAATGCCTCCAGAGCCCCGTGATGCCGCTCCTTAACTGGCCAAAGGGGGCGCCCTTAAGTACCATCAATGCTGTTGAAGAGGGCAGGGTACTTGGTGCTTTCCGTACATGACTCGTCTTTCAAGGGGTTTCGATAATTAGGAGCAAGAAAGGGGTGGCCCACATTACACCCCACCCCCACATTCCTTTCTTGCACCCCACCCCCACATTTCCTTTCTTGCAGAAGATTTTCTCAGACTTTGTCACCATCGAGATGGTTTTCCATGCCAAGGCTCTCGAGGTCTATTCCAGCGCCTTCCAGAAGCTGGACGATTATGACTTTGAAAGAGATATGGAGGTACACGGGTTGGAAACACACGGTTCTATTAGAACACTTGTACAGCCATGTCTATCAGCAGAGCTTAAAACATGTTGCCAACAGTAAATGAATCCCTAACACCTCTTAGAAGTAGGTAACCTCATCCCCAATATAGAGATGGGGAAACCGAGGTACACGGCAGCGGCATGACTTGTGACCTTGGATGATAAGTCTGTGGAAGAGAACCCAGGAATCCTGAGTCCCAGCCCCCAGCTTTGGCCACTGGATCAACACTCACTAGATCAGATGTAACCTCCACCCGCCCCAGTCTGAGTACAGCACATCAGTCACGTGCATGTTTTATTCACAAGGAGATAAGATTTTAATGAGCAATTTGTATTTCTGAGGCGCCTGTAATTTTCCATCACACAGGATCATCTCAGATAAAAAAAGCCTCATCAAGTCCATCCCTCTACAAGAAGATATACCCTACATTAAATCAGTACAATGCCTGCTCTGTGTGTATATGTTGTTCAAGCAATTGCACGCTTCCGGCTAACACAGGGGATGCTTAGTGGCAGATTGCGTCCAGCCTGTAAGCTGGCGCGCAGGGCACCTTCCCCTTCGTGCAGGCACCAGGCACAGATGCAGCAAGGACTCCTCACTGCTAGCAACCCCTGGGGCACAAGCCACTATGGAGGAGCCAGGGTCATGGTCCAACCCCAGCCAGCAATGGAGGGAAGAGCACACGCCTTCTCACGGGCTGGTGGCAAGTGCCCACCCCCAATGCAAGCCAATGCCTTTGGTTTGATTAAATCAAGCTGAGTTTTCCAACCCTCTCTCACAGCTGTTTTGCATTTGCTCCCAATTTAGCCCTGTGTGCCAGTTATACCTACAGCAGCTAGGGAAGTCACAGAAACCGAGCTTGCACAGCTCCCTTGGCTTGCTTGCATTTATTCCCTGCACTATTACTTGGGAGACCCCCGCTTGCATGCCAGGTCTTCATCTATGGCTGGCATTGACCCTCATCATTGGTGTGTTGCCTTCCTAGGATTTCAGAGCAAAGATCCAGATTGCTTCTGGAAATTTCGATGCCAGGCCAGTGAGCACCACAAACCCTTCCTCCACCCTGCCATGGTCCGCCAGCAGCCAGGTGAGAGAGACGCAGCGACGGCATCGGTTGTCCCCTATTAAGCTTTTGGCCTTGGATTAGAGCCCGAGCCCAAGGCCGTCCCCCCAGTGCTCAAAGAAAGTAAATTCAAACCACTCCGGTGGAAAAGTGACCCCTAAGGAGGAGATTGGCTGTCACCACTTCCAAAGCTGAGCTCATGGAGTGCCACCCATGTACTCCCAGACTAACATTGGAGTCATTGCTGATTGGCTGTCTTCTCTAATTGTCTCCCTCCCGCTCAGTCTCTTCCCTCTTTCCCCTTTCCCTGGCCCCCATCGCCTTCCTTTCCATGTACCCTATCCCTTCTCTTTTCTTTCCATTTAGCTGAGCCTCTCCTAGCTCAGACACCAGAAGGAACCATCATGACCATTTAGTCTGACCTCCTGCGCATCGCAGGCCACAGAACCTAACACTCCCCCACCCCCCGCACTTCTATGGTAGGCCCCTAACCTCTGGCTGCGTTACTGAAGTCCTCAAATCTGGGTTTAAAGACAGAGTTACAGAGAATCCACCATTTCCTCTAGTTCAAACCTGCAAGTGACCCCTGCCCCAAGCCGCAGAGGAAGGCACAAAACCCAGGATGTCTGCCAATCTGACCTAAGGGAAGATTCCTTCCCAATTATGGCAATCTGTTAGACCTTGAACATGTGAGCAAGACCCACCAGCCAGGCACTTACGAAAGAATTCTCTGTAGTTACTCAGAGCCCTCCCCGTCTAGTGTCCCACCTCCAGCTGTTGGAAATATTTGAGGATAGCAGTCACGGATGGGCCATATGCCATTGTAGGCAATTGCATCATAAACTTATCAAGCTCAGTCTTAAAACAGGTTAGTTTTTTTGCCCCTATTACCTCTTTGGAAGGTTGTTCCAGAACTTCATTCCCCTGATGCTGAGAAACCTTTGTCTAATTTCAAGCGTACATTTATTGATAGCCCGTTTATATCCATTTGTTCTTGTGCCAACATTGGCCATTAAGTTGAACAACTCCTCTTCCTCCCCGGTGTTTCTCCCTCGGATGTATTTGTAGACAGCAATCAGATCTCCCCTCAGCTTTTCTTTTGTTAGGCTAAACAAGCCAAGCTCTTTAAGTCTCCTCTCATAAGGCAGTGACACAGGGTCAGGCCAGATGGCCACAGGAAAGTGACTGAAGGCAGATATATTAGCCCCAGGTTAAGTAGGTCCCTTTTCCCTGGGTAAGGTAACAGGGAAGGTTCCAGAAAAATCAGGAACTTTCTGGAAACAATTAAGGCAGACAGGCTGATTAGAACACCTGCAGCCAACCAAGAAACTGCTAGAATCAATTAAGACAGGCAGGCTAATCAGGGCACCTGGGTTTAAAAAGGAGCTCACTTCAGTTTGTGGTGTGCGTGCGAGGAGCTGGGAGCAAGAGGCGCAAGAAGCTGAGAGTGAGAAGGCGTACTACTGGAAGACTGAGCATTATCAGACATCAGGAGGAAGGTCTTGTGGTGAGAATAAAGAAGGTGTTGGGAGGAGGCCAGGGGAATTAGCCCAGGGAGTTGTAGCTGTCATGCAGCTGTTACAGGAGCCACTGTAAACAGCTGCAATCCACAGGGCCCTGGGCTGGAACCCGGAGTAGAGGGCGGGCCTGGGTTTCCCCATCCCTCCAACTCCCTACTTGATACCGGAGGAGTTGACCTGGACTGTGGGTTCCACCAGAGGGGAAGGTCTCTGGCCTGTTCCCCGATCCACTAGGTGGATCAGCAGAGACTGCAGGGATTGTTGTTCTTCCTTTTCCCCATGCCGGCCCGCGATGAGGCTAACTGAGCGAATGGCAGATTTGAGCCACGAAAGTGGCCAAACTGAGGGCTGCTGTGAACCTCTGAGGCGAGCAAATCTGCCAATAAGCGCAGGACCCACCAAGGCAGATGAGGAACTTTGTCACAGCAGGTTCCCCATTCCTCTGATCATCCTAGTAGCCCTTCTTTGCTACTCCTCCCTGCCTCCAAAAAATAATCGTGGTATTAACGTGACATTTGTCATCACATTGCTCACTCTACTTGTGTGTTCTACCCCTTCCCCCAACCTGCGTCTGTTTTGTCTCTCTAGATTGTCAGCTCTTCTGGCAGGGAACTTCTCCTGTTCAGTGTTTGTGTAGCACCTAGCAAAACGAGGCCCGTTCTTGGTTGGTCCTTAGGCACTACCGCAGTAAACGTGGTTAACAACAACAATGTACCCAGTTATGTAGTACTTGGCTCAAGGAGCCCAGCTTAACAGTATTTGGGGAACTGGCATAAGTTAAGCTCCTTTTGGAACTGATTTTGAAAGTTACAGATAAGGAGGAAGGATATTAAACAGCTCCTACCTTGTTTACCAAAATATATAACATCTGCTATTAAAAAGCACCAAGACAAGCATCTTGGCATATGACGATCAAGGAAGCGTGTCACAGTAAAAAAGGTACAGGAAATTTAAACAAATATTTAACATATACATACCGAGAAAATACTATTTTGTAGCTAATGCATGAGCAACTAAGAACTTCAGAGGGGTCACTGAGCTGTGGATACATTTGGGGGTTCTTTCATCTAGCTAAACCCCAAACTTGTTCAAGTTCACCCCAGCCCATTTGACACAGCTCTAGCTATGATCAGAGATGGGCCTGGTCATGATATATGGAATCACAGTTTTTCTTGAATGGGAGATATTTATTAAGAAACAAACAGATTCCTACACAGCTCAAGTTCCAGCATGGCTTGCTATTGTTTACCAGGGCCTACACCCTGGCTAGAAGTCTGTGCAGCATAGAGTTAGATAGCGGTTGGATCATGTAACTAAGTAAAGATAGCATTGTAGGCCCAAGTATCAAAGTTCAGATTCAGATCTAAGTTTCCCCACAATCTGAGGGGTGTTGGCTTGGGTCCCCTCTTACTGGTAGCCTGAAAGCCAGATTTCAGGCTCGCTGGTGCAATTCTCACTAAAGGAAACCTATAGCAGAAGAGAGGAGATCAGAATGGTAGGCTGCATAATGGCTTTCTACATCTTCATTTCTAGAGCGTTCGGAGCACTCTACAGAGGCAGGAAGACAGTGAAGAGGACTCCGAAGAGAACGTGTTGCAGGATGTCAGCAATCCAGAATATGCACAGATTAGGCGGTAATTGGACAGCAGGACTAACCAGCCACGCTCATGAGAGCTGGATGTATTTATTCTTAATTTCACTGTACATTCCCTTATTGAACCTTAGATTTTCTGTGAAGGCAAGGAACTCTCAATGAGGCTCTTAAGCAATTTGGAACCTCTGTGAATGCATTGTTCCCAAGCACTGCGGAGGCTCTAATTCGGAGACTGATTCTTAGTACTAGGGCGGAACCAAAAGGTTTATTTGCAAGTTGAACATCCTCTGGGATAGCATGTGGGGTGGACTGTCTGTTGGCACTACTCTGTGTTATTACAAACCAGCAATGGACCTCAGGTTACACACCATTGTGCACGTAGATCATGCACTGAGTGACTGAGTTCCATATGAACAAACAAAACCCGCTGGCTGAAGTCTGGGAAAGCAAACTTGTACCCAACTCCCAGAAACAGCTATGCTCTGAGGGGTGCATCTCCCACAACTGAGTGGGATCCCTGAAGAAACAAAAACCCTCCTCTACCTATTCAAAATAGCCACTTTAAAGGCAGGTCTGAATCTCTCACCAATGAGACATGTAAAAATCACAGCTTACTTCCAACTAACATACATCGTCTTCTTTACAGAGTTCTGTCTACAAGTCTGTCCAATGGGCACATCCCAGTAGCATGCAGGATACCAATGTTATACTGTAGGATATTGACTATGTCAGAAGTATAATCGCATTTTCCCACTACTATAATTTTACCTACTGATTAATTAACCGTGTAAATATGGTTAGCTCAGTGGAGGTTACCATGCAATTGTCAGTCATTCACTCTTTGCTGCAGTTGGCTATTTCCATGTGACATAATAAACAGTTATTTTATTTGTGCCCTCATTTATTTTAGCGTGGGTGAAAGGTACCAGATTGCTGGCCCTGGAGAATGAAGGCCTCTGGGTAACTCCAAAGCAGCCATAGCTTGGGCAGCTTCACTGCAAGTTTTTCTCACGTGCCCACAAGCATTCTTCAACCCTTCCAGCCGAGTCCTATCTCAATGGCCTAGTCAGTCCGTGGCATCTCTCCTGTGACTGCTAGCTAGGGGGCCAATTACTGCCGATTGTTGGGATGTTTTTTCTGACAGGGACCTCTGTCCACTAGGAACTGGACAGAGACCATCACCACCACCACCTTAGGTGCCATACTGACATTTAATTAAATGCATGCTTTCTCTTTTCCCTTTGCCCCAAACCAAACTTCTGCTGTAATCCTAAGAACAACAACTACCACCCCCACCTCAGCAGACTGAGAATCTAGTAGTCGACACAGGAGATTGAGAGATATGAGAAAGCAGAGAAAGGCATCACAAGGACCAGTGGCTGGAAGCCAAACAAATTCTAGTTAGAAATAAGGAACAAACTCTGAAGGGAAAGGATGGATTCTTCATCTCTTGGAATCATCAAATCCAGCCTGGATGCTTTTCTGAGACAGAGGCTTTCATCAGCCTCAAGTGACTAGGCTCAGTATAACAGCAGCTGGATGAAGTTCTCTGCCCTGCGCTGTGCAGGAGGTCAGACTTAGATCAGGGGCTCTCAAACTGTGGGTCGGGACCCCACTGCCTGGTCGAAGGCCACAGTCTTTGCAGCACTTCAAGCCCTGGCCTACAGGATTGACTCTGGGTGGACCACCCACTGGGCAGGCCCAGGCGAGCGTTTGTGATGGAGTCAGTGCCACCTGGGCTCAGAGCAGAACCAGATTTACAATGGCGCCATGGAGCCGGGCCCATACTTAGAAGGGGTGCCAGCCTGCTCTGCTTGCCCTGCACTCCAAGATCCCACCAGCCTGCTGGCTCCCCCCCCTGCCCACCACTTGCTCCTCTCAGCCTGCCCGCCAACCTCCTCTCCACCCTCTGGCCCCACCTACCAGCTCCTCTTTGCCCTCTGGCTAGACCACAGTGCACCTCTGGCTCCGTGCAGTCTCTGCTTCCCACCACCTGTGGGGCCCGCCTACCTCTCCAGAGCCGCCTGGGACTGGTGCAGAAGCCTGGCCAACCTCAGCCAGTTTGTGGAGGGGACCATGTGGGGGACTTGGATGGGCCCCTCCAGGCAAGTGGATCCTGAGGGAGTCCAGCTGGGGCAGACCCTGGCCTGGCTGATTGCGCCACTCCTGAGGGCTGGAGTGATTCCTGGTCCCAGGTCAGCCTGGCAGACACAGTTGCCTCCCAGCAGGGCCTGTGAGCGCAGCTAGGAGCGGGATGTGGGTCTCTGTGTCTAGTGCTGGGCAGTTGTGGTGGGGCTGTGGGCAGGGGGGCACTGGACAGGGATGGTGTTGTGCAGGGCACTGTGCATTTGTGGAGGGGGTCATGAGGGGCAGTGGGCATAGTGGGTCCAGGGGGGCTCTGGCAATAGGGTGTTGGGCGGGGGGACTATGGGGAAGGGGCATGCTGGCAGCACAGGGCCGAGCAGTTGCCAGATGCACAGTGACCCGCCAGTTTGTAAATAGTGTCCTCGCACTGGGCTGGGCGGAGCGGGGCCATCCCTGCCATGCCATGCCCCTGGTTGGCCCCTCACTCCGGGGACCAAAGTCCCCGTACCATGCTCCATTGCCCCCATGGAGGCCCACAAATGTGTTTGTTAGGTTAATCCAGCTCTGCTCAGTTACATTAAACAGTTCCTGGAACAGTCACCCAACTCACACGACCTCTGCCCAGTGACAAGGAAGAGGAATGAACAGCCAGCAAGGGATTTGGCTTGGGCTGGAGCTCAGTTGAGCTACTACCAACTATCCAGCTAAATGCCACAGACCAAGCTACAAAATCCAGGTGGAGCGAGGTGCTCCTGCGGCACCATGTGCCATTCGAGGATGTGCTGGTTACGCTGGCCTCCCATTAGAACACACCACAGTATCTACTTATAGTACCTGGCTCCCATTCGTGTAGTATCTGAGCACTGTACCACCTCTAATGTATTTATCCCCATCACACCCCTGTGAGGCAGGGCAGGGCTATTGACCCATTGTAGAGATCAGGAACTGAGGCACAGAATCACATAGGAAGTTTGTGGCAGAGAAAAGAGCACCCTGACCACTGGGCCATTCTTTCCTCTCGCAGTAGCCCTTTCATTTGTGACTCATGGGGGCTTCCCCCAAGACAGTGGAGTTTTGCATTAGGGGCTCCCAGGGATATGTTTATACTGCATTATTAACCTGGATCTGTGGGACCCAGGCTTGTGAGCTCAGTGTTTCCAAGCCCGCGCTTGAGAGTCCATGCTGCATTGTAAATCTGGACCTGGATCTCCCAGCCATGCTAACATGTCCATACTGCACTACCCAGACCTTGGCACAAAAAGTGGGAGTGTGCTAATAAAGTTTGCGGATGACACGAAGCTGGGAGGTATTGCCAAAACAGAGATGACCGGGCTATCATACAGGATGATCTGGATGATCTTGTAAACTGGATGAATAGTAATGAATAGTAATAGGATGAAATTTAATAGTGAAAAGTGCAAGGTCATGCATTTAGGGATTAATGACAAGAATTTCTTTTATAAACTGGGGATGCATTATTTGGAAGTAACAGAGGAGGAGAAGGACCTCAGAGTACTGGTTGATCACAGGATAACTATGAGCCGCAAATGTGATATGGCCATGAAAAAAGCTAATGCGGTCTTGGGATGCATCAGGCGAGGTATTTCCAGTAGAGATAAGGAGGTGTTAGTACCGTTATACAAGGCACTGGTGAGACCTCATCTGGAATATTGTGTGCAGTTCTGGTCTCCCGTGTTTAAGAAGGATGGATTCAAACTGGAACAGGTACAGAGAAGGGCTACTAGGATGATCCGAGGAATGGAAAACTTGTCTTATGAAAGGAGACTCAAAGAGCTTGGCTAGTTAAGCATAACCAAAAGAAGGCTAAGGGGAGATATGATTGCTCTCTATAAATATATCAGAGGGATAAATACCGTGGAGGGAGAAGAATTATTTAAGCTCAGTACCAATGTGGACACAAGAACAAATGGATATAAACTGGCTATCAGAAAGTTTAGACCTGAAATTAGACGAAGGTTTCTAACCATCAGAGGAGTGACGTTCTGGAACAGCCTTCCAAGGGGAGCAGTGGGGGAAAAGACATATCCGGCTTCAAGACTAAGCTTGATAAGTTTATGGAGGGGATGGTATGATGGGATAGCCTCATTTTGGCATTTAATTGACCTTTGACTATTAGCAGTAAAGATGCCCAATGGCCTACGATGGGATGTTAGATGGGGTGGGATCTGAGTTACTACAGAGAATTCTTTCCTGGGTGTCTGGCTGGTGAGTCTTGTCCACATGCTCAGGGTTTAGCTGATCGCCATATTTGGGGTCAGGAAGGAATTTTCCTCCCGGGCAGATTGGCAGAGGCCCTGGGGGGGTTTCGCCTTCCTCTGCAGCGTGGGGCATGGGTCACTTGCTGGAGGATCCTCTGCACCTTGAAGTCTTTAAACCACAATTTGAGGACTTCAATAGCTCAGACATAGGTTAGGGGTTTATTACAGGAGTGAGTGGATGAGATTCTGTGGCCTGCGTTGTGCAGGAGGTCAGACTAGACGATCATAATGGTCCCTTCTGACCTTGAAGTCTATGACTCAGCTCCGCGGTTTGAGCTGCATCCACGCTGCCAAATGACAGGGCTTGGATCCAAGTCACAGCAGGACTTGGGCTCTGACCCACCCCCCTAGCAGGGACGTGGGTCCTGAGTGCTTGCTGATCCTACTCAGGCTGATCTGTGTGTAGACAGAAGGGGGCTTGGGCTCAAATCTGAGTCAGAGCTCAGGCTGTGTGTCAAGTGTAGACATACCCCCATTGACTTCAGTGAGCTTTGAATCAGACCTGAACAGAACAGTCTGCAACCACAGATCCCTCAATTCCAGACAGCATAGTCTCAGCGCCACCAGCTGGTGAGGGGAGATCATGCAGCTGCTGGCTTTCCCTGCAGCTGCAGCATTTCCACCGTGCCTGCAGGACTGAGCCAGAGATCCTTTTGGGATATGGCCCCATGCTGCGCGCTGGCCTCCTGCGATGTCAGCCAGCTGAATGGCCCAGCACGACGCATCCAGGGAGAAATGAGCCCCATTGATTTTTCCCTTTCAGGCACACGTTTTTTTCCCCTCCTTCCATCAAGCAGCAAATATGCTTTCAGTGCAATAAAGACTGCTGCTCGGTCTACGGAACAAATGCTTCGCGCCAGCCATTGTCCACCGAGGTGGGAGGGGGCCCATACCAATTTAATTATGGTGATTTAAGCAATTTTGATCCATTTTTACAGTGCATTTACAGTTAGGAAAAGAATCAAGAAGGAAAGGGAGGGGACACACCACAGAGCACTTAAGAGGGGTTAGAGAGGCTGCAGTTATTGCAAGCTTCTTCCCTTGGTACTCTGCCAACACAGCTCTGACTCCAACCGCCTGAGCCCCATTGAGCAATGTCTCCATTCAGCGCCTCATCGTCGATGTCTCCCCTTTTCCCTGCAGATTACATCTTCTCAGAGCTAGGCTACGGCTTTGAATCCTTGCCCAGCTAGTAGCAATAGGTACGGGAACACTCGTCCCTGCTAGCTTCCTGGTGCAGCAGGAACCTGGCTAAGGAAAAGCTGGTGTCAAAGCAGGGATCTAGGACCTGGAGAAGGTCCTGCAATGGTGCCTCTTTTGCAGGGATGGTACCTATTTTCCAGGATACCGCAGAATAAAGGACGTTAGTCAACGGTGAAGTAGGTCCTCAGCCTACGTACAATGGCCAGGCTACTTACTTAGGTGCCTCACTATGGCTTTAGTAGCCTTATGTGAGGCTCCACTTGGAAAATTCTTGACCTCCATTGCTGCCCTTGTGCCTGCAAAGCCAACAGTCACATGGGC